TGATGTGCTAATGAGATACAGTCAGAATCACATCATAAAAAGTGGGTGCCCAGATTAGGAAAATTGAGCTCCCTATGGGAAACTCCATCAGGAGCCATCCCTCTACTGATGATCAATCCATGAGAGACCCATCAGACCCTAACACTATCTAGGAGTATGTGAGTATAACTGTACACCTCTACCCCGATATTACGCGACCCGATATAACATGAATTCGGATATAACGCGTTAAAGCAGTGCTCCGGGAGGGCGGGACTGCGCGCTCTGGAGGATCAAAGCAAGTTCAATATAACACGGTTTCATCTATAACGTGGTAAGATTTTTTGGCTCCCGAGGACAGCGTTATATCGGGGTAGAGGTGTATTTGTAACTTGTGCATAGGTCTTTATAGAATTTCACTATGTTTAGGTAATCATAACCTTAACTGTAACTTGAATAAAACTTGTAAAACAGACTAGACCTTATACTTGTGAATGTATGTGCGGACACTACCCTTGGTCTTTATGTGATCCTAGAGACTCTAAATCTGACACAAGTAGCAGAGGTGACTTTCACTCTGATAAGCTTGAAACTGTAGCCACTGAAGAGCCGAACCCACGATGGTGTCATAACACATTAGAAAATTCACTTTAAATAAAATAAAAGGCTACAAGCCCTTTTTAAAAATTGGCATTACATTAGCTTCCTTCCAGTCATCTGGTACAGAGGCTGATTTCCGTGATAGGATACATACCACAGTTAGTAGTTCTGCAATTTTATGTTTGAGTTCCTTCAGAATTCTTGGGTGAATCCCATCCGGTCCTGGTGACTTAGTACTGTTTAGTTCATCAATTTGTTCTAAAACCTCTTCTCTTGACTTCACTGCTAAAAAGATATCTGTTCATTTTATCCTGGGTAGCTATTGCATGCAAGCTATCCTGAGGTGAAAAAACAGTAAAGAGAAGACACTTAAATTTTGTCCTGAGGTAAACTAGGTGAGGTCAACACTATATACCCCTGCCTGTTTGTGGCTGATCTTGCCTCATGTCATTTACCTTTCAATAAAAGTAAAATGCCTTGTCTTCACTGTGATGTTTACCTCAGGATAGCTCATGCATGCTAGTTACCTTGAGGGAAAACAACCATACCTGGTCTTAGCAGTAAATACAAGGCCTAAAAGTAAACTGCATGATACTCAGTTAATTTATATCAGAAGGGTGATGGGCTGAGACTCCTCTCCTGTGACTTGAATGTGTGTTGCCAGAAGAGATTTCAAAAGTGGGGTGAAATCCTTGACCTCACTGACTTCAATTATGCCATTGACTCCAACAAGGCCAGGATTTTATGCCTGGTGTTTATCCCCTTCAGATGGTGAAGAAACGAATGTCACCTTCTGTGAGTTATCTGAACATTACCTTGTTTTATCAGTGGTCTTGAAAGGCTTAGGCCGAAGCCTGCTTCCTTTGAAACCAGATGGGATTTTGCCATTCGTGTCAATGGGACTAGGCCCCAAGACTGAGGTGTTCAATACCTTTCTCACTAGCCCTTCTGATTCCTTCCTACTGGTATAACTATGTTGATAAAAATCACAAATTTAACCAAAATAGGTATACTGGTACAAAGTCTGTTTAGAGAGAAGAGAAAAATAGACAAGGCAGATATTTGTAGCTTCTTTTTACTGGGCCCACGTGAGTCATGCAGCCTGTTGATTTTTCTCTCGCTGCAGAGCTGTGTGCTTGTCAACATAATTGAGTAAGGGTATGTGTAGGAAGGAGCTGACAATCCAACAGTCCTTTATTCCAGTCCACATAGTTCAGTAAAGAAATCAGAGCATTTTGCTTCTTTTTCCCTCTCTTTTTTTCTTTTCAGTATCAGTCCATTGCTGGAACAGATAGAACTGTGTACGTAGGACCCTTCATTTTCGGTTTTTATTTTAATTTTTCCTGGGAATTTATTGGTATTTATTATTACAACAACAAAAACAGTTGCAATTCGGTGCAAAAACTATTAATAATTTTTCTGGGTAAATATCGGGGTTTATTCTGGTGGACAGAAGGACAGATTTTCATTTTCTTCCCATTTCAGTGTGTCAAATCTTTAAACCGTTATCTGCTAGCAGCTTGAAATGTTTATGTGGTAGGCGTGAGATTCATCAGCATGTTCAGATGGGCATGCACTTCAGAGCTTGCATGCATGTCTGTTTGTTTATTGTGTATCTCTTCTAGGCTAATGCATGGCCTTACTTCAACAGGCAGCTTTGCATATACACACAGACTAATGTATTATCATAATACATATATTTCATGCAATGTATTGCATTTTCCTAATAAAACAATTTATTTTTTATATATCTGAATGATACAAAAGTAGGGTGAAAATTGGAAAAAAAACAAATAATACTTTTTGTAAAACCCAGGATTTTTTCAGGAAATTGTTTTAAACTGAAAACGAAGGAGCTTATGTATAAGATACATACTCTCCCATAAGGCCTTCCCTAGAGAGCTATTCATTATTATTATTAGCACTTATTACTATTTATTTTATCATTACTATTATTAGAGCTAGTTGTAAAATAGCAAACATTTTTTGCAAAAGCCCTGCATAATCTTGAAATTTTGGAATTTTTCAACCAGCTGTAATAATCCTTATTATTTTATTATTTATGTTGCACTAGGTGGGTTCTAAGCATTTAAAGGAAGTAAAAGGCAAGGTCCTTCCACCAAAATACCTACAATCTAAGGTTTATAAACACTTCTATAACCCACTGGTCAGTGTGCCCTTCTGTGTCTGATACATCTATGATGAGATATTGCTACAGCCCACAAATCCAGAGCCTGGCTCTTTAGCTGAAGGAGTTCATGCTTTTAGCTCTGGAAGCCCCAGTTCAATCCCCAGTTTATGCCAAAATGACAGTTTTTGCATGGGCTTAATTTATGTATGTGAGTAGGTCCACACGCAGGTAGTCCCATGTGCATAAACTTAAGCACATGACATGTGTAATTATTTGCATGATCTGGGCCTGTTTTGTTAAGAAAAATGTCTTCTCTGAGGACAGAACCTTTGAATTACAAGACTTGCCTGTAGTCTATTATGTTAAGAAAGCTCTAAAACTACTTTCAACTGAGAGTCTCTAGAAAGCCTGAGGTAACGCTATCTAGATTTGTATATCCAGAGGCCAGTCATTCTCAGTGAAAGTCACTGCTCTGGAATTTTCTGTTCCCTTGATCCAACAGGGCATGAGTCTTTTGGCTTTCAGGACTCACTAAAATAGCAAGGCCCGTCTGATTACCTAGTCCTTTTTCTGAGTGGGTGGGGTGGGAGGAACTGGTAAAGCGTGTGAGCACAGGCCTGATTTTCTGCTCCATTACACTGGAGTAAAATGGGTGTAACTCCAGTCCTGAAGCTTTCTTCTGATGGGCTATAACATACAAGTAAAAGAGCATGGGGATGTTTGTCACACTTGGTGAGTTACAGGTTTTGTTACTGGTTTGGCTTTTATATTTTTCAGGAGGGGCAAAGTGAGTGGGCTGGCAGGAGGGGGTTTGTTGAGATGAATAGGGTGGGGGAGGAGGCATATTGGGCAGTGGGAGTGAGGCTGACAGTGAAGGGGAGAAGGGGATGGGGCAAACAGCCCAGGCTCAAACCAAGGAATTCGGATGACAGCACTGCTGTCCAAGGGGCTGTGAAGATCTGGGGTAGTGGAAAAGACACCCCATCTGGATCTCACCACCCCACTTGTGTTAATGCTGTGGGTGCCCCTGGCTCCTGCAGGGGCCAAGTAGCTGCTGCTTATGCCCCAGAAATCCTTCCTCTATTGAGCCTAGACGGGGCCCACATGGGGCATTTGTCCCTGGGCATTCCTTGGCTCTTCCCAGTTCCTGATGGGTGAATCTCTGGTTCTGCTGAACCGGGATCCGATTCTTTACCGGAGCCAGCCTGGCTAGGGAATGGGGGAGGCAGCTGGGGGGTTGTTGCGAGGGTCCCTATCAGCTTCAGAGCTGGGAGTGGACCTCCCCTCAGGCTGCAGGCCAGCTGCTTCCTACTCTTGCAAGGGGTGATTCTCTGGCTCTGGGCAAGGCTTTCTCCCCTGAGCCCATGTGGCTGAGGTGGGTCGCCTCCTGTGAGTGGCGGGTTCCATCTGCGTTCATCGAGGGATGGGGGCGAACTATCTAGCTGGGCATCCCCCCTCTGGGCACCGGCGGCTACTTCCATCCTTTGCCCAATCCCACTCTCTCTCCAGCGGTGTGTGTTTCCCTGCACCAAAGCGGCTGGGTCCATGCAGTCCCCTCCCTCCCAGGGTGGCTGAAAGAATCAGAGGATGCTGCATCCCCTCCCTGAGCCCGGCACCCTGCCTGGAAGCGCCTTGGCCAGTCGCTGCCCCCCCCCCCCATGAAACCCTCTGCAGGGCGCTGTGCAATGCACAGCCCCCCCCCCCCCCCCCCACACACACACACACACACACACATTTCCTTCTAAACTCCGCCGCCTCTTCACTCCCATCCTGGTCCCACGCCCTGCAGCGATGCCAGGCTGCATCCGCGGACACTAGCGCCTTGTCGCTCGCTGGCAGAATCCGTGGGGGCAGCGGAGAGGGGGCTTGGGGAAAGGCGGGGGGTGGGGGGTGGGGAGAGAAGAGTTTAATTTAAGGAACCTGCTTTGGATAAACCTCTCCCACCCTTCTTTCTCATTCGCCCCCCTCCTCCTTCCATATTCATGAGGCTAGCCAAGGGGCGGGGCTTGGTTCAGTGCCCTGCCCCCTTTCCTTTTCTCAGGCACTTGTCTGGAGCTGGGGGGCGGGGGGGGGGGGGTTTGCATTTCTCCGCAGGACCGGCTCTCCTCTTTGCAGCGCATTGGCTGGGCATGAGCCTCACACCCAGGGGAGCGCAGGCTGGCGGGGGCTCGTGGGCTGCGCCTCTGATCCAGCCCCCTCGCCCTCCCCTTTCCCCCGCCCCTCCAAGCGCAAATTAATTACTTGGTTAAAAAATAAAATAAAATAAAATACAAAAAGTTTGCAGCCCCCTCCTGCCCGCCCCCGGCGATGGAGCAATGGGAAATTCCTTCACGGCACACACCGCGCCAATGCCTTGTGCAAGGGCAGCCTGGAGACGCGAGGCAGCGAAGGGAAGACTAGGGAGGGATTTTTAATTCCTTTTTGGAGAAATCAGACCGTGTGTGAAGGGGCAGCTGAGCTCCCTCTGCTCCATTGCAGCGCTTGGCTTGCTCGCCACCTCCTTGATTCAAGCAGATCGCGACGGCAGTTGCCTTCAGCCCCCCCTCCCACCCCCCAGCTCCCACCCCCTTTGCCTTGCTCACCTGGGAAGGTGAAGAATGCATCTCCAATATTGGGACGGATCCCTGCTGCAATGGTAAGCTCTGGTCCCTCTTCCTTCCAGCGCGTATTGTACTTGGCTTGCGGTGCATTGTCTCCCCTCGCTTGCTGGGGCTCACTGCTTAGCCGGAGACCGGCTGGCAGCTGAGAGCTAACCGTGCCGTGCTTTAAGTGGACCCCTGACTTGACCAAGTCGGTTCCTTTATTGTAGTCCGTAAAGGACAAACAGGGATGCGGTAAAGGAAGCAGTCGTATGAATTGGGTTGTGTTGCAGGAGTGACACTGATTTGCTCGCTTTCCCAGTTCCTGGATGGGAATCACACACAAGCGTCTTTCTGCCGCCAGCAACCACTGCATGCAGCTGTGGGGTGGTGGGGTGGGTTTTTTTCTTTTTCTTTAAAAACAAACAACTGGGAACAGGCTAACGCGTTGTTGGTATGTGGATCACGTCTGGTTTTAATGCAATATGGCTGGTAAATAAAACCTGATTGCTAACAGATCCAGGGCTGCGATTGGTATTTTTCTGGCTCAGCATCTCCCTTGCACAGTTCTGCATCTTCATTCACCTGCCGCAGCAACTCTGAGTCGCCCTTCTACCAATGCGCCAAAAGGGTTAGCGAGACTTCTCTGGTTTTACTATGAAGTAGTAGCTAAAATCTCTATTCTTGTACCATAGTGTGTGTGTGTGTGTGTGTGTGTGTGTGTGTGTGTGTGTGTGTGTGTGCGCCTGCGGGGGGGGGGGCTTTCTCTTATCCGTATTTGAACAGCTTGTTCCAATGTTTCCATCTCTATGCAAAGCACATTAAAGTCAGAGCTAACAAACAGGACTTCTCATCTTACTGCTCTGCTGTGCTGTGTACCTGCCATGTGCAGTGTTTGGGGCTGTGGTTGTACTGGAATCGTATGGTTTACATCAATAGCAGAGAATAGTTAATGTGTGGAGATATAGCTATAGTATTAGGAGAGGTGTGTAGATTTCTTGTTTAGTGACATGTTGATATTTGTGGCCTGATGGGCATCTTACTAGGGTGTGGACATGTGGAGGAACTCCTCTGAAGATAGTGGATTTCCTCTGGGTTTAAGCTGGGGTGAGAACAGAATCTGGCCCTTCACTTGCAAAACATGTGGGGGTATCATTGCAGATACAACCGCCAGACAAAAATCAATCCAAGCACAGTCAAACTGTAAATACCTTTATAATATTTTAATATCCTTTGTGGTTGCTTATACAAGGCATATGTTGTACAGTTGTACCCATCTATAAATTGATTGAAGCAGGTTATTTTAAATCTGACAAAGTACACATACATGGATTTTTTTGGTGTTACTCTGTTTAGATACGCCTCAGTCTCCCTTCTGCATTCCTATACCTCATAGGCTGGCTAAAATTGGGGAAACAATTGATGGGAACATAATTTTTTAAAAAGTAAATAGATGCTCACTGTATGGACCGGGAGGGTGAACTCCTTAACCTGATATACCTATAAATACACAGAGAGACTACTTTTGACAGGCTTTTGTGTTCATATAATGCAAAAATTCACTCCCGGAAGCTCTGTGCTTCAAAGAAGTTTCCCAGTGGATGGACATAACAAAACAGTTACATTCTGATGAAGAACTGAAGAATGTCATTTGATGTAATGATCTGCAGATTCCAAGGCCATAAGGGGCCATTGTGATACTGATTACTTGTACAACACAGACTGTAGAACTTCCCCAAAATTATTCCTAGAGCAGATCTTTTAGAAAAACAGCCCATCTTGATTTAAACATGATCAGTGATGGAGAATCCACCATGACGCTTGGTAAATTGTTCCAATGCTTAATTACTCTCGCCATTAAAAATGTATCACTTATTTCAGATTGAGTTGGTCTAGCATCAACTTCCAGCCATTGGACTGTGTTATTCTGTTCTGAGCTAGTCTGAAGAGCCTATTATTAAATATTTGTTCCCCGCGGAGGCTCTTACAAACTATAATCAAGTCACCCTTTAAATTTCTCTTTGTTAAGCTAAATAGATAGACTCAGAAGAACGCAATCATTATAAGGCATTTTTTTTCCTAATCATATAATCATTCTCATGGCTCTTCTCTGAACCCTCTCCAACTGACTAACATCCTTCTTGAATTAGGAGCATAATGATAAGACATGGACTGAAATTTTTCTGTCCGTATCTTAGCTACCGTTCAGTTTTTTGTCTATGTTTGGCTGAGGGCAGCAATTGTTGATGTATTGAAACTGAAGGTCAAATAGAATTGATCTGGCAATCACTTGTGAGGACATGGCATGGAAGGCTTTTTGTTCTGTTTATTAATGTGAACGCGTGCATGCTTTAAATGTGTTGCAGTGAGCAGGATTGCTGCTTGAACTGAATCGACTGGTTGGTCCTCCTGGCTAAGCAGAAGGAAAGCCTGCTGGTCCAGTTGATTTCTCTTTGAATAGGGCTGCTCTGTAAATAACGGAATACACAGTGGCTAATCAGGCTCTGATGTTCCATCATTCCTTGACAACACAACACTTAGAGTGTACCTTTTTCCTCATGCATTTAATATCTGCCATTTGCGCTACAGATTTACAGCCGCACGTAGCCATCTAGAAGTGCTGTACTCTGCACATATCTGGAGGGTGTAAACACCAAGACAGGAGAGGAATTGTTTAGGATGCTACCAGGACGAATAATTGGAAGGGTTGCGGGGACATTAAAATTAGGAACATTTACATGAAAAGTGAAGGGGAACCTTCCAAATAGCAATATCTTTTAGATTGTGGAATACTCTACTGGCCACTTTCAACCCCTGGTTCCTGACTGCTCTCTTTGTATTCAGGCTTTTCTCATCCCAGCTCAGGGCAGCCAGCATTCTGGGGGCAGTGTTTTGGGGACGGTTTTCCTGTGCCTCTGCCTTTGACCATTTGTTCCAGCAAGAGACCTGATACTGCCCCATCTGAATACAGAGGATTGGGTTGTTTTTTAAATTCCCTCTGAGCACTTAGCACAAAGTAAGTCTAACTCCAAAATTATCTTTTAATAAAACCCGGTTCTTAAAGTTAAGGAACAGAGAAAAGTCAAAGCAAATCCAAGGCAGGTAATGTACTGTAATTCTTATCTGATCTACAGTCTAGGTGGAAGTCTTCCTAGAACAGGTCAGATTTTACAGTTACTACTGATTTAAGCCAAAGTGCATTCAGTGGGATAGATCCTCAGCTGGTGTAAATTGGTGTAGCTCCTTGGATTTCACTTACTTGGATTTATCCCAGCTGAAGATATGGCCCCTAGAGTTCATGTGTGACAAGTCATTTCCGTTAGCATATCAGTCTGACCTTAAAGTCAGCAAGGAGTATTCTCCCAATAGCTTATGCCCTCTTGTTTTTACTGCCTGTGCCCCTTTGATGTTTAAATCTGAATATCCTGTATTACCATTTTAGGCATGAAGGGTGTGATTCTCCCCTCAGTTAGGGCCTGATCCAATGCCCATTGACATCTCACTAGGAACGGAGTGACCTTTTACCTCAGTGCAAATCTGGAGCAACGACGCCACTGAAGTCAGTGACGTCACACAAGTGTGGGTCTGTTTCTCCTTGTCCTTACCCCACTTTTAAAGTCATCCTTTGTGGCAAAATACAGGCGTAGGTGCTGGAACTAAGGCCTGGTCTACACTACGACTTTAATTCGGATTTAGCTGCGTTAATCCGAATTAACCCTTCACCCGTCCACACTACAGAGCCAGTTAATTCGAATTAAAGGGCACTTAAAATCGATTTCTGTACTCCACCTCGACGAGCGGAATAGCGCTAAAATCGATTTTGTTAATTCGAATTAGGGTTAGTGTGGCCGCACACCACCGAATTAATGTGGTTAAATTAATGGGGTAGTTGGCCGCACACCACCGAATTAATGTGGTTAAAAACCGAATTAATGTGCTTAGTGTGGCCGCGCACAATCGAATTTATACAACCTGTTTCCCAAATTCGAATTATCTAAATTCGGATTAATCCCGTAGTGTAGACATTCCCTAAGGGTATTGGGGGTGCTGCCGCACCCCATAGCTTGAAGTCGTAATAACAACCCAAATACCTGGTTTCCACCTTCAGCACCCCCACTGCAAAAATGGTTCCAGCAACCCTGGATATAGGCAAGGACAGTCGCCACACCACTGACTAAACTTATGACTCTGGGTTCCTTAATCCCCCCTGACCTTTATTCTGATATTTAATGAATCTCAGCATCCCTTGAGAGAGCTTTACAATTCCCTCTTACTTTAACACGCAGCACTTCAAAGGAATCCTTTGAACCTGAGTGTGTTTGGTAGCTGTACACAACATATACTAGACATGGGCATTCACTCATCTGCTGTGACTGGCTGCAAAGCTCTGTGTCCCTTTGGATGCCAGTTGTTAGAGCGGATTGGAAAAATGAGGGGGGTAAAAAATTCATACATTTTTGGCAGATTTTTCACCTTTTTCTGTTTTCTTGTTTGTTTTTTGTTCGGTCATTTTCTGATTAGCTCTAATAAATGATGCTATCTCGCTTTATGAAATCTTCTAGCTGTCCTTGCTTGGACATTTACATAATGACAAAATTTAAACCCTCAAGAAACATTTTTAAAGTTACTAGGGGCCAGATTCCCAAGCCCTTATTCATGTGCTGTAATACTTCAAACATGTATGTGGGTGAGGCTACATGGAGAGACAAGGCAATCGGAATCAGCACCATATGTTTTTAATAATTCCAATGTATATCTCACGTCCAGGGGTTGGATTGTCCCATCTCCCAAAGGATTGTTTGGAAGCCCTTTGTCCAAGACAGTTGAAACTAGAATGGATAATGTGCTGGAGAATATAATGTGGGAAACAATCATGAACAGATACAGGGATGGAGCTAATAGTACCCTTCCAGCGTTTTGCTGCTCTGAGTCTGTGATAATAGTACTATCCATCTGAGTTATTCTAATACAGTTGCCTTATCAGGGTGAGCTACTCAGCCTTTAGAATCTTAGTTTCTCCACTCAGAAGCCAGATTATTGCTTTGCAAATCAATGT